TATTTATTTATTTATTTATTTATTTATTTATTTATTTATTTATTTATCTATTTATTCATTCAGTCATTCATTCATTTATTTATTTGATAGTTAGTTTGTTATTCAGCTATTGATATACAGAATGAGATCACAGATATAAGCCGCAGGAATTGGTTTCCTTGTAATCGTGGCTGTAATTAGTTGTAGCTCTTAGGGTGAAGAGCCCAAGCAACCTGGGGGAGCTCAAAGTGGGGGCTCACAGGAGTCAGATATGATTAGAGAGCGCTCTGTTTTTCCCTCCCTTTCACAGTTTTTCAGGCATGTCCAACTGGGATGAAGTGCAAACCCAGAATTTTATACCTCAGGATCTCCCAGGAGGCATTTCTGAGTGTTCTCAAACAGAGAGCCCGACGTCTGTATTTGTAACATCGTGTGTCTTGAAACGGATAATTTAGATGTAGATTTCTTTATTATTTCATTTTTACTGACAACTGTTGTAAATCCAAAAACAGACATTTTAAAGACTTTGATTTGGACTGGTTTTTGCTCAACTGGTGATGGATGCAGGTCTCTCTGTAACTCATCTAAAAAACAAACAAAAAAAAGTTTTTGTTTTTTTCACCTGATTACATTTTTCTGCATGAAAATGTTGAAACGTGACGTAACATGATCAGTGTAGCACGTTCGTCAGCCATTACTCTTTTGTATACAGATATAAAAAAGGCTGGACTGCAGTCGCGGCCTTAGCTCGATCCTGCAGCCAATGCTGCTTATCAGACATTAGGTATATTTACTATGTAATATTTACAAAATCACCTATACTTATCTGTACAATAAAACAATAAAAAAATGTCAAACCACTCCCTTTTCAAGCCTTTGTACCAGAAAGACATCTGAGCAGATAAACTTCAATCACAAAGATTGAGATTACGATATGGTTTTCCCATCAGTCAATAGTCACAATAAAAACATGCTGTTTGATAAAGAAACGTATATTATAAAACAAATTACATATGGTATGATTGCATATTTATTTTATTAATATATTTTTTATCAATGAATTAGTTTTAATTGTCTTTCCATTTCCTGTATTTAGCCTAAAACTGCATCCCCGTCTCTCTCTTGCTCAAGAAACCCAAACAAAGCTCAGTCAGGAAGAAATCAAAGACAAAAAACAAAACAAAAACGACAAAGAAAGCCATGGTTTAGGACAATGTTTCACCCAAATACCAGCCGAACATTTTCTTAGTCTTAAAACAGATGAACCTCCATCACATACCTCAAGCAAAACTCACGACTTCCTTAACGTACTGTGGAAAGTTGAAGAGAGGAAAAAGAAGGAGAGGAGCTCTCTACCCTCCTTTGGCTTCCATCTCAGCAGAGGTAAATCCAAACCTTCCTTAGTAAGCCAGTGATGGACCAGCGTGGTATTCTCTACGGCCGCTGTCTGGAGGAAAGTCAGTGTGGTTGACCGGTTAAATGTTATCGGGGGTTACCCGGTAAGGTAACAGGTAAGGTACATAAAGAAGTGGGATCTCCCTGCACCTAACCGCTCATGGCTTAGACAAACAAAGGGCCGATCTTTGGACCTGTGTGATCTCTCCGTGCAGGAGTGGATGGGCAGTAAAACAGGCAGTAAATGTGACAGCTTTTAGCCAATCGAAGCCAATGTTATGGTAAAAGTTGTGTAAGTCATACTTTGATATATGAAGTCATATTTTTTAAACTCCAGCCCATTTAGTTCACATTTTGTCTGATTCTCTTGTCCAGTAGACACAAATTATTAATCAAATAGATGTCCCATTACCTAACAGAATATTCAAAACAAGTTTCAATGTCTGGGGGAAAAATAACCTAAACATGCATACATTTGAATGAACCTTTTAATCTTTTGATTAAACTTATTTAGTAGGTGATTTGATCATTTTCTCTGTGACCAAACTGTGTTACATTGCTCTTATTTTCAAGCAGGATGGGCTGCAGGTCTGGCTGATACACTCACTCAATCAAATTTAGAAGAAAACGTCCAATCAATCAATTAAATATCTTGATTCGGCGTCCCTTTACAGTAGAACAACATTTGACATTTGTGTTGAAGAGCTGATGTTTAAATCTTTGTTGGTCTATGACCTTCAGCTTATCTTCAAGAAGAACAACTCCCTGTAGATTGAAAATGTTTCTTCAATCTCAATGATTGACAGGTTATGTGACCAAAAAGACTTGAAAATACTCTGATGAGCTTCTGATGAAGAATTTATCTTGAATAGTCAGAATGAGCTCAGGGTTATTTCAAACTTCCTGATGAGACTAAAGTGATGTGATGACTCACGTTAAACAGCACCACCCTGTGGTCATCTGTAGAAACTACCAGAACCT